TCCTACCCATTCTATAGAAAACATTTCTATAATTATACACATTAATAGAAGACCAGTCAGGCTAACGGCAGCCTACTGCCCCAAATATACAGTGCACTTTATTAATGACATAAAAAGTCTAACCAACTCTTCAAATGTCTTTCATTTTCGGAGATTTTAATGTTCATCATACCAGTTGGCATTGTAAGCAAGATAATACGGCTGGACAACGTTCATACCATCATTAACTGAGCTCCAATTTTTACATTCACTATCCTGATGGTTTTACGCGATATACACAGCGTCAAGCACCACAACTGTCCTCTGTTGTCGATATTATGCTCACGAATTCCGGACTTCAATTTTCACAACTAGTGACACACCCAAATATTCTAAAATCGGACCATATTCCGATAACCTGTAAAATTTCTGGTTCCTTTAACGTGAAATCCATGCAAACTCGTCTCTATCAAAAGGCAAACTGGAGGTCTATCCACAGATATGTTGAAGGCGCAATACTCCAAAAACACCTTGAAAATCTTGTGGTGACCTCTTTAAATGTCGATGGAATTCTTAATGAAATTACAACAATAATGCAAACCGCTTGGGAAAATGGTTCCGATGTGTGAGAAAGTCAGCTGGCAAAAAAGACTCTCTCAACGAACTCTATATTTAATTGGACAACGAAGAAGATTCCGCCGAAAACTACAAAACTAAACCAACACTCATTGGTTTACTGAAGCAGCTAGATAGAATTCTACTTGTTAAAAGATAGAAATGTCAGCTGGAGTAACTTCTTGAAATCGTTGCCACGTGGAAGCAAGACATTTTGGTTGTTGTCCAGGACTATAAGGGGAACTCGAACAAGTGTTGGGACCTTAGCGGTAGATGGCGTTGATGTAAGCAACAGTCTTGAAAAAGCTAACATTATTGCAAAAGGATTTGAAGAATCTCACAAAATTACTGCAAATGTGGTATCATCAAAGGATCGGCCTGTTGAGCGACATATTCGGTGGATTGATAAACAAAGTATAATAACAGAGAATATTGACTCAATATCTGTTGAAGAAGTCAAATGGTTCACCAAAAAACTTAAAAGTTCTAAAGCACCGGGTCTAGATGGTATAAAACCCGTAGTCCTTAAAAATATGCCAAACTCTTTTTTCATGATTGTTTCAAAGGTATTTACGTGGTGTATAAGAAATGGTTATTTTCCAACAACATTTAAGAAGGCTAAAGAATAGAAAAAAATCACAAAATTTTAATAGCTATAGACCAATAAGTATGCTAAACTGTTTGGATAATGTTATTGAAAAATTAATTCTCCGTAGAATTAACGAATTAAGAACCACAATATCATCAAATTTTCATAAGTCCATAAGTTTTTCTTTGGCGAAGTTAAATAATCCTTCCCTGGCTTCCTCCGTCTTTAATGTGCTCATTATTTCCATAATAGTACCCGTCATTCCGAGAAGAGTGGCAACCTCTTCCTTTATTTTCATCATTGGCGGCCATTTTACCGATTTGTCCTCCTGGGGATATGCCTCACTTCTTCTGTCTGAAGATCTCAAATATGAGCACCGCCACCACAGTCTTCTGTGCTGAAGTCTCTTTCTGACTCAGCATTCTTTTATTTGGCTTATAAATTTCCTCTGTATGGGAACAATTCCAGTTTTTAGCTCGGTAATTACATTTACATTTAGAACTTAAAATTGTACTTACACAACATTGCACGAAAACAAAATAAGTAAACGAAATAAATAATGTACAAATTAAAATTGTACTTACTTATATTGCACAAAACCCCCCAAAAAAGCTATTGGAAAATAATATTAAATATATATTTAATATTAAGTATAAATTTCTTATAATTTACAAAAATGCTCAAAAGACAATAAAAGCCAAGCAAAAAAACAGATACCCTACTTGTGGTACGAAGCAATAATTGCTTCGCTGACTTCACCGCAGCTTCCCAAAAACCACCAAAATGTGGAACTCTTTGGGGGAATAAACTGAACTAAACTAAATCAATACCTTCTCTTGAGCATGTCTCGGTTATTACCTTCCGGCTATTTTCCCCGATTCCATTTTTTGAGCTGATTTTTTGCTCCTACAAAGTTTGTCGTTTTGACTGAATACAAGGTTTGGCATTTCCCACGACGAGCGTTGTAAGGCCTGTAACTATTTTTTAAATGTACAGCCTTTGTTGCGAAACAGACTAACAGAGCGATGTAATCTAATGAAAGAATCTGGGGACTGAAATATTTAAGGATTCGGATATTTACTCTGGACCGTCTGAAAACGGTAATCGCATACAAAACGACCTTTCTCATTGATTGTTGTAGTTTGGCTGAAGTGACTTGCACAATGTTCTTCAGCTGCTGTCAACTTCTGAACTTCATAAACTTCGTCGTGTTCCCAGAACTTCTTTAATAAGTCTATCAGAGCACGTTCATCTTCCCCGAAAACTGCGCATGTCACCGTTCATGATTCTGCATGAATTCTTCCACTAGCAATCCACCCAGCTTCGAGTTCTTCATATAGGAAACTCCTTGGACATTCGAATTTCTTGTGATAGCATTAGATTAAGGTAGAACTCTTCTCCAAGCAGTATATCAATCCTGATGGTTTAATAAAGTGGGCATTGGCTAGCTTGATATTTTCTAGAATTGGCCATAATGTCAGTGCTTGGTTGCGGTGGCAATATATTTACTAACAAAAAAAACTTCTAGACGCTTTCTGACTGAAGTCCACCCTCACTCTGTGATTTGCGGTCCTTGATCTTTCACCAACTTCTTCGATACAGAGAGATGCTTGAATGGGTTCGAATCCAACATCTGAACAAGTCGTTCTGACGCAAGATTAATCTGTGAGCTAGAATTGCCTTAAATTGATGACAACCCGTGCGGTTGCTGATGCCACTGTTGGTGACATCTGAGCTAACACCACTGCTGACTGGTTTTCTGCTTGTGGCCTTGTGGAAAAATGCAAAAGTGTATTTTGTTTTTGTTGACACTTGCTACACATCCTATTTGTAGCCGTTTTTGCCTGATGATCAATCTTAAAGCAATTCAAACACATCTTGTTCAAGAAACCCATTTCTTACTTACTGGTGCTTTCATGGTCAATAATTTGTTACAGTAATATAGGGGGTGATCACCTTTGCACATTTGACACCTACGGTTCATTGCGGAAGCAACCGTCGTTGCTGGTTTACTCTTCTGGATCCAGTTGACTGCTTCTAATGATACAAAGCGACTCCTAAAACATTTTATGAAATACTCCATCGTTTAGGAGCTCTTTGGTATCCTCAATCGACTGCTCATACAACACATCAGTAGTTTTGTCCATCCTTTTTGCTAGGATCTGGATTAAGAGTGGATCCCATTCTTTTGGCTTTACTGCCTTTAGTGAAAACAACCACAGTCCTCATTGTCGTGAAAGTTCTTCACTGATCTGCTATCGCCTAGGCATGTTGGGCAAGTTCAATATCCTCTCAAGTATAGTTGATACTAGAGCTCTCTTGTTGTTGTATCTGGCTTGGAGTGTATTTCAACCAATGTAATTCGCCTCAGTTAAATCGGGGTGCCTTATGAGCTATCGGCTTAACTTGAATTTCAAGTTCCCGCCTGATCTCTGCTGAGATAATGTACGAACGTCCTGTGTTAGCGTCGATATTTTTTCCTAGAAATTTAACGTCTCTTCCTCTAAGAAAACATATTCTAAATGTCTTCCACTTTTGACCACAATTTCCCAATTTGCAGCCACTGTCTCACAGGGAGCAGCTTGGCCTGAACTGCCCCTTATTAAAGTTTAATCGACTGCATTGGAGCCCTCTAAGGTCTTACTAATCCAGCCACATTGCTGATTGCAGTAGACTGGTTGAATTGCTTCTGTAATCCGTTCCTTGTTGTTCTTTGCCTTTTTGATGTCTGACTGTTATTGATAGCAGCTCTGTATTAATTTCCAATGACTTGATACTAGTTACTGATGATATGCTCGAATTATTATTTAGGGCAGTTGTATGCTGCTATCAAATAAAACTAATAAAAAAGTAAAACTATGTATGCAAAAAGTATGTTCTTTGGAACACTGTACAACTTAAAAAATATAATAAAACACTGTTTACGTTTCGACGCAAAATCCAAATTTTGGCTTGTTTAGCCTATTTGAACCATTTCTTAATTGAAACATGGTTTTTGGTTCGGTTCAACAGGAGGTCTCGTTTTGGTTCAGAACTGGTTCGCAACGCTGGCTTCGACATTGCAAGGCAATGACATTACTGCCTTCTCTCCACTACATATTTACCCAACTTTATCTTTAAATCCCTCTTTCATCTCTCTTGTTATTTTGTTTTGGCAATCACTCTCCCTCTCTTGCTCTCAATACCAGAAAAACCGGTATTTTGTATAATAATAATAAAAGAATTGCACCAAACGAGCAAGAAAGTTGTTTTAATATAAAACCGCAGTCAAAGTGCTCAATATAGTACAGTATCAAGCAACCCTTATGTGGTCAGTGGCCATGTGATTTTTTTAATTGTAAGCTGTGTATCACCCGAAAATAAAAAAAATAATTATTCAGGTGATTTCTATGAACTACCTTTTATTTAAAAAAAAAAATAAGTCCTTCTATCTTGAGTTCAATTTTGTAGAAAACCCTCACTCTTTTTCACTCTTTTTTGTTGATCAAAATTATAGAAATTGTAAACAAAAAGTCTTGCATTCGTTAGAAAGCTATATGACAGAATTAGGTTATACTACAGATTAATACCAAAGGCAATATTGCTCAATAAATACATACATTCTTTTGTATTGTCTTTTGTAAGCGCACGTTTAGCAATTTTAGAATTTTTATTCTAGTTTTAATCGTATTGTGTGTATGACGGCCCACGATACGACGCATCGTTTCCTATAACTGAGCTAGTTTATAAAAATTTTTGCTTTTGGTGGGTATGTTCAGTGAATATGGAATTTTAATTGCTAAGGATTTTTGGTAGGGATTTTTGTATATTTATTTTTATAAGGGAACAGCGTTTATTAACATTATTTCCCTTAGTTGTATTTGATCGAATTTAAGACACTTGTTCAAACTGAATAGTGTTGTGACGAAATAAATTTTATGTATCTCCAATTTTTTCTTTGTAGTGTTGGTGTGAAAGTCCTTTTAATATTTCGTAGTCTGGCAACCGCGGATATATGTTTTTGTTAATGCGTATAGTCCAGGAATAAAATAAAAACAAAAAAATTGTGTCTGTGCTTATATTAACAAAATAAATCATGGGAAGCATCGACAAGGCATGTATTTCGGGATTTTTGTGTCGTCTGTGCTCCGAAATGCATCGTATTGTCATTCATATATATGGAGATCAAGGCCAGCGCCTTTGTTTGGTAGAGAAAATAAATGGATATTTACCCATTACGGTAAATTATATGAAATATTTAACATTTATGTATCTTTTTATCGCTATGGATTCTTTAGATTTCCCCAACAGATCCATTACCTAAGACAATATGTACAACATGTTTACGCCGTGTGGAACAACATTATGATTTGCTAATGAGACTATCGCGAATCAGGGAGGAGAGATTTGTGGAACTAAAGAAGGTATTTCTTTGTTTTTTTATGTTTCTATATTTTATATCTGAATCGCTACAGAGTCGTCAGCATGTTGAAGATTTGCCCTACGTCTCTAGTCCAGAATATTCCGAAGATGATAATTATCAGAGCGACAATGAATCCAGACGACAGTATCAAGATCCTCTGGCAGATAATGGTTCTCCGTCAACGTCATCTGGATCAGCAAGTGTACCTTTATCGTCATCAAGCTTAGTCCATGATGTTGGATTTTCTGTCAATACCGTTGATGATGTCACCTCAAACGTCGATCTTCTAGACACGATTGTTTCGCCTTCTTTATCGGATGCATTATATGCGGACAATGACTCTAGTTTAGAGTTGACTTCACCAGTTCATAATGACTGATTTGTATAAGATGAACTATATTACCATAATTATTTTTAACTTAAAAAATAGGTTAAATTCCTTCCCTTATTTTCAATAAATATATAAACCACAGAAGAAAGCCGCTAAATTATAGACGTCTATGTGTTTCATAGATTGAAAATATTTGTAAATACGATAAAATTGTCATTGCCACGGACGCGATCACCTAAAAAATTTTCAGATGTTTATGTCTTGTAGAATCTTTGTTGGTAGAACGTAGTAAGAGTTAGAATTAGCTTAAGTAATAGTGTGTTTAGAGTTTGATAGTTTGTATCATTTGTGATGGAACAACTCTAGTTTAGTAAAAACTCTTCGATTTTTTTCGAAATTGTATATTTCTGGACTCAGTAAAGGTATTAGCACAAATTGTAGCATTTTGGAAAGGTAAGAGTGTCAGCTATAATTTGGCATCAATTTTGTTGTCCCCCATAATGGTCGCTTTAGTTACTTTTGGGGGTTCTACAAAATATCCGGGTCCAACGATACCTATATTATATATATCGGGTAATTGGATCCGGGTCTAGTCGGGGTCTTGAAGCCGGATTTTCGGGTCAAAAATATGGGGTCTCGGGTCCAACCCTCAAGAAAAAAATAGTTTCCCGGGATCAGGGTAAAAATACCTACCACTGGAAAAAATTGAAGAGTGATTTCTTTAATTAGCATACTACGTTCTACAAGCGAAGGTCATACAGATCCGGAAGGTTTTATGTGCATTCAAGGCTTTAGGGGCACACTGGGATCAGTCTATTATTTTTAACACATTTAGGAAGATATTTTTACATGTATTACGCAAAGAATTTTTTGATAGGGAAAGATCCTATCTCAGACCTTCTACAGATACAAAAAATAGAATTTATTTGGTTCTACCGAACCGATATATCGATAGTACAATAGAACAGGAGGTAGAACAGCTTTGTAAAACTACTGAAATACTGCCCCGAGGCCACGGTCCCTTCCTGTCAGAATTATTCAAAATTACATGCAACAAGTTCTCATGTCTTTAACATTTTTCCTCAAAATGAGTCAAAAAGCGCGAAATATGAATGAATAACAATAAAGGGATAAAGCCTGACCATTTTGCAACAACAAAATACTACGGTATCCCGAACAAACAAGCCACACTGTTCTATTAATAGACAAGGCACGGTCGACGAAGGGGTTTTTGTTGTAACAGACAAAACCAAGTTACATGGTTATGCTACTTCGTTCAAGTTGAACGAAAGCATAACAAGTGGAGAAAGATGTAAATGTTTATAAGTGCGGTTGTAAGATTTAGAAGACTTTCTAAAAGAATTTTAGTTTTATTTAATTCTTTGGTTCCTCTTCTATTGAGCTTACGATCTCGTCACTTGGGTAAAAAATGTTTTTTGTCATAGAAGTTATTTTTAAAATAACTTCTGGGGAGAATATCCCAGACAAAAAACAAGGGAACTGATGAGGATTAGTGGCTCTTTCCGAAACCTAGGTATTCCCTGCCTTACCCCCTGGTAAACATTACCATCGTTCTCCACTATAAACAAACGTTGTTTTTATAAAAACAACAATAAAGGGATAAAGCCTGACCATTTTGCAACAACAAAATAATACGGTATCCCGAACAAACAAGCCACACTGATCTGGATTTTCTTTCAAAAATATGACCATAACAGATTGGTAATTAAATTCCATAGCAAATCTGATTAATATCCTTAATCATAAATTTTGATGTTTTTATTTATCAAAACAATAAATCTAAAAACAAAATTCGCAAAAGTCGAACACACTTAGAAAATCAAGGTGTATTTATAAGGTGTATGCATTAGCTACAACAACTAACATTTTACAATAACAACATTGTTGTTATAGAAACTATAAAGTCATTCTGACAATAATTTTGGATCCGAGAACAAAAACAAATGTAAAAAAACAAATATTTATTTTATTTTTTTTTTTATTTTTGTTAATTCTTAATAGCTATTATCAAATTTCATCCTTGGGGAACCACAAGTCCAATATCAACCATCCCAGAAATAGGCGAGGGTATTGACGAGGATCTTCGTATGCACAAAATATTTGAAAGATTTAGTTTGGCGATCAAACAAAATGTTTTTGTTATATCGCAGCGGGTTGATGGACGCATCTCTCCAAAAGTCACATGCAACGCATAAAAGAATCTGGAAATAAAATTTATTTGGAATGGTAGTATATATATTGGATATATCTGGCAACGCTATGCCTGAATAAACGTGGTTTTTGTTCATCGCAGCTTTTCATTCTTCAAATGAATAGAATTTATTAATAAATCGGACGCATTATACACCTTCTTCGGGAATTGCAGTTTGTTGCATGACTTGTTGTTAAAATTAAATTTAAAATACCGCTTTATACACAATATTGCATAATTGTTATTTTGCTGCTAAATTGTTGCTGTGCTGTTGGTTGCTGATTTTGTTGTTGCATTTTATTGTTGCTCTTGTTTGCCTTGTTTTTTGGATGCTTCTCTGATTTTTTCCCCAAGTAACCAAAAATGCCTAGTGCGGAGAATTGTGGTATTTGCAACAATTCTATAACAAAATCCCAAGGAAGCATTATGTGTAAAAAGTGTAATAAATGGATACATGCCGCCTGTGCTAATATCAATGAAAAAGATTTAGCTGCTTTAAAATCTGTCAAATCCAGCATTTTTACTTGTGTCTCATGTGAGAACTGTCAACGAACCAATCCCAATAGGAATAGCATATCGGACGAGTTTCGGAGTCTTAATGCAAAGTTAGATGGCATAATAATGAGTAACCAGACTGAAAAGAACTCCATTAAAGCAGCTCTGGACGAAATTAAAAATGAGATGAGATCTTATTTAACTGAACTTAAATCCGATATTAATAGCTGCAATGAAAAAGTGAGCAACCTAAAATCTGCTACAGATTCAAAAATATCAGATCTCCAGGCTGAAGTGAATGTGTTACATCGCAGACTGAATAGAGCTGACTTTTTAATCAGCGGCTTGCCTGCTGGGTTAACAGACTTGGTTGTCCCGGTAATGGCGTTAAGCTCATTTTTTAATGTGTCGCTTTCTACTCATGATATCAATTATATTGGCTACATAAGCAACGGAAAACAGATCCTAGTTAAGCTGAATAATGTTAATGCCCACGATTTAATCATGAAGGAGTATTTCAGAACCAGGACTCTTAAAGTGTCGGATATAATTAAAGGTGAAGGTGGTGACCTGTCAAATAGAGTTTACCTAAACGACCATTACACTCCTGCTGCGGCATATCTAAATTCGCTCTGTATAAGGCTTCGCCGACAAGCAGTTATAACCAAATTTAAGGTTCTAAATTCAGACATACTGAAAGCCAAACTGATACTCACAGATGGCACCGAAATTTTTGCAGATGCTAAGAAATGTTCTTCTTTGTTAAATAACTCTGAACAAGTTGAAAATTAGTGTAATACAACTTCAGTAATTGACTTTTCTACTTAATCTTTATTAATGAATTGAATTGTGAACTCATATTAAAAGTGAAGAGCTGCATGAATGTTATTACAATATTGTTCTTCTTTATGGAAATATTATTGTATTTTAAAAAATTTGTATTAAATATCTTTTTTTGGCTCCCCATTTTCAATTGTTGGCTCTGTCGTAATGTCATTTAGTGAAAATCTAGGTCCAGTAATTAACGATAACTCGTACATTAAATCCGTGTTGTGTCCGTATAGTGATAACTTAAAAGTGGCTCATCTAAATTGCAGGAGCATCAAGCCTAAAAACAAACTTGATGAACTGAGACTTATTTTAAAGGGCAATGTGTTCCATATTTTTGCTGTGACAGAAACGTGGCTCATGAATGAGATTTGCAATAAAGCCGTTTCTTTACCTGGATATAGACTTTGCCGGAATGATCGCCAGGCTCCAGGTAGAGGAGGTGGTGTAGGTTTATTTATTGTTAATGGTCTCCCCTACAAAATGGTGTTGAAAACCTCTTTTCCTGGATGTGAATCGCTTTTCGTTAAGTCGTGCTTTGATAATATTGAAATCTTGTTTGGCGTGGTTTATTTACCAACTGGTAATTTATATGATTTTGAGTGTCATCATATGGATTTATTTTCGGAGCACCAAAATATAGTTATTTTTGGTGATTTTAATAATAACCTATTTGATGATACTAAGTCTAGTAATTTTCGCTCACTGTGCATAAGATATAATTTGTCAATTGTTCACAATTCTAAGCCCACACATTTTGATTTAAGAACAAGAACAACTTCATTAATAGATTTCATGTTGGTAAGTGATGCTTCATTTGTTAACTTTAGTGATCAAGTTCAGTGTCCGTCTGTCTCTGACCATGCCCTACTTTTCGCGTCTCTTTCCTTAAGTTATTATAAGCCGCTTGAATTCCTGGAGTACCGAGATTACAACAACATGGATTGGGATAGATTTCTGTTGATCTTGCGTGCTTTTGACATGAATTTACTGCTAAGTGAACCTGATGTAAACATCAAATGCTCTCAAATTAGTTCTCTAATTGGTAGCTTATTTACCTGTGTACCTGTTGTTAGGAAAAGGGTACAACTTCGCACAGAAACATGGATTAAGGCTAGCGATGTCACATTTGCTAGATCCGTTAGAGATTTAGCTTTTAATGCATTTCAATTAGACCGTTGTCAGGAGAATTGGGCTGTTTACTGTAAATATAGAAACAGGGCAAGGACCGTTATTAGAAGGGCAAAGAGGAAACATTTTGTAGCAATGTTTGGCAGGTTAGATACATCTGGCGTTTGGAAATTGTTGCGTAATGCAGGTTATGTAAATCAAAATCATTCTGTTTTTGATATTGATGTGGATGACATAAATTGTTCCTTTATTAACACTGACCATAGACCTGCAGGGCAAGTGAACTTTATGCAGGATGTAGATTCTAACACGTTATTTTCTTTTCGATGCGTTGAGGAGGCTGACATTTTTGAAGCATTGCACAAAATTCACTCTAAATCAGTAGGGGTGGATATGATACCCATACGATTTATTAAGTTAATTTACCCGTACGTCATGGATATATTTTTACACTTCGTGAACTATATATTAGTAAGCTCAACTTTTCCACT